TGATGACCAGCCATAGGCACGGGGCCCTCTCGTGCTGCCAGAGCCGTTGACAGTGTAGTGGTAATTAGAAGTGCTAAAGTCCTCCCTATTAGAAGTGCACCTAGAAAAGACAAGAACAAGCTTAACCTAAGAAAGGTCTGATCTTTTTATTTTGAAAAAGATAAGAGAATTTCAATATATTCTGATAAAGTCCACAAGAGACGCTCTTAAATATCATTCGACGGGCTTCAGACATGCAAAAATTTCTGCAGTCACTCAAAGACCAAATGCTAGTTTATGCGTTTGGTACATGAAATCCTTAGTGTGTTAGGTTTCCTTTTGCAACATAAGATGCTCTATCCAAATACTAATTTTCCATGCCTAAAAATAATATGCTCAACAAATGCAAAATTAAAATGGACTCGAACTTAACCAAAAGTTTGTACATCATTTTAGAGATATATCATGCAAAATAATCGGCATTGCTTTGTATCTCATGCAAAATTGTTTCTTCTAACTTAAATGTGCTGTATAATCGTCATTCCACCCTTACTCTATCTTCAAATGTAAATGAAATTCATACATCTTGAAAAAATATTTTTAATCTAAAGTAGTCACTTCAACTGTGGATAAATATCTTTATATGCAGATATACTCAAGTTTCACTAGCTGCTGCAATAGAAAATTCAGTAGGACACATTTGAATGCCGTGTCAAACAGATTATTCACACAAAAGGGGAGTCTTCTTATCAATATTCTCTTTGTTAACCACCAAATGTATCCTGATTCAGGTATTGTTTCAAGAGTTACCAAGAAAGTACCAGATTTTAGATACTGAGGAAATCTTCCCACGTTAACGTCTGGAGCAATAAGAAGAACTTTCCCGTTTAATTTCCACAGAAGGATAGAAGCTGTCAAGTATCTGGTAAAAATGTTGATCAAACAAAAAAATAAGATAAAGAAAATGGACAGCTAGTTATATCATGTATAGAGTAGCTACGGTTTGGTTTACCGCCAACAACATACTCAGAAATCACACCAGCAATTGCAGCACCACTAACGCCAAAACCAAAGGTGAATATCAAAATTGGAGACAATAATGCATTAAGCAAGTTACCAGCTCCTGACAATCCAGAACTCCATAGTCAGATATGGAAGTAGAAGTATCAATATTTTACTCAAACATTTGAGACATAACTAAAAAAATTCCTATATATCAGGCCATACTGAGGGGGGTGGGGTTTCCAGGGAGGAGGTTTTCCATTGAGCAACGACATTACTTCGTTAAATAAAGCCATACTCTAGGTACATCTCATAACGTAGTAGCATCCCCTAGAGAAATATTGTCAAGACGCGCTTAAGCCCTGAAGCGAGGCTCAAAACGTGTTGAGCAGTTCTAAGGCATACTTTTCCTTGCCAATGAGCCTCTTCTGAAGAGGTTATACTAAAACAATTGATATTTCACTTTATCGTATTTTTTTTTCAATTTCTTTGTTCATATGTTTGTAATTTTCTCCCTCTGCGACCTTTTTCATTAAAGCCCATGTTTTATTTGCGCTTAAAGCCTGTCTTAGAGCTTTTTTGCTCTTTCTGCTTTTGATAACACTATCCCAGAGTAGTTTCTCCATCGTTGAGTGAGCTAAACAAGTCTTCAATAAAAACTGGTCTTATCCATACTTCGCCAAGACGTATGAATTCAAATGAAGTCAAACGTCTAAACTAGTGCCTTGTACCTATATATTTGCAACTGTACTTGTGTAGGAAAACTTATTGTATATTGAGGCTTAATATGAAAAGCATAGGGCGTAAACAAAACGTTTTTATCTCACTTTAGTAATGAATTTGTGAAATTAATATCTAAACAGAAACTTTACAGCTAGAAGCAGTTATCAGCCAACAATCTATAAATAATATTTATGAAACCGGATTATCAGGCACAACATGTCAGTACAGATTTCACATGGATTTGCTTTATGTAGATAAGAGAAGTAATTGGGTATCATTGATACTTGCCAACAGCATATAAAGGAGTTTTTGTGTCCTTAAATCCACGAAATGTTCCTTGAGCAGCAAGTGCAATAACGACTGGTGGAGCTCCAAATGCCCGCATTGTAAGGAATTGCTCAGCTGGTTCACGCATCGGTGAATCCTGTGACACATCAACAAGCCCAAATAGACTTACACTGAATATCTTTAGCAAACAGCAATACACAACATAAGGGGAAGCATAAATCCAAGAAGTTAGGCCTCATGCTAGAAGAATAAATCGTTTTCCAAATTAAGACATACAACAGATATACCCATGGTATTCATCAGGAAACCGGAGCCAACAAAAAGTCCAACAGCTTCCACAATGCCAAGGCCGAGGGCAAGTAGTAAAGAAGTTGATACTGAAGGAAGTAGTATCTTGCTTTGTGAATCAGGTGAGCTATCTAGTTTAAGAACAAAAATATAACTCACATCAGTGACAAACAATGTTTGGCAAATTCACATGAGATGCTTCGACAAACAATCATTGTCACCTTTAGCAATCAATGCCTGCTCTTCAGCAACGAAAGAAGTTGTGACGTTGAGCAAAGGAACATTGAACAATTTCGAGATGAGGTTGAAAACTGATACCGAAATACCTACTGCTGCCAATTCAACAGATCCTACAAAACATATCAATAGATACGTAAGACAAACATGGACCAATATGTTGCAAATATTTTTAATTCTCTCCTACTTTATTTCAGCCATCTCAGAAGATTAGTAGCTTAACACTTTCTCCTTCCGTTCCGAAATACTAGTCATATTGTGCATCTCGAAAATCAAATTACACGAACTTTTACCAACATTTTAAGAATAAAATGTCAAAAACACACCTAAACTATTCTTTTTTTAGTATCATACCTAAACTATTGCAAGTTTGGGAAACACACCTAAACTATCACTTATTTGTTTGAGAAACACACCTCAATGCTGACTGGACCAAATGTGTGTATATACACACACTTAGCTCCTCCTGTGTTCTCCATTTTATTCTTTCTTAGGCTAATTTGATTTGTTCTTCATTTTAATTTCTAACCTTTAGCCGCGGTGGAATTGTTTCCCATGTGGCATTTTTTATTTTTTATTTTAAAAAAGTATAATACACACACCATCACATATTACTTGAGATGTACTGTTTCTCAATATAATACACACACCATCACATATTACTTGAGATGTACTGTTTCTCAAAATGCTCACACTCCCAATAGTAAAGGTGTGAAACTCAAGAAATAGAGAGAGTTTGTGTGTGTGTTTGACACTTCAATGTGTTTTGTCACCCATTATAATATCGGATGAGTTGCAACTTATAGTTTGACTCTCGAAAAGCAAAATGTGACGAACATTTTGAGACGATGGAGTACTAAGTTGTAAAAAATGGGCCTTTTCCATCTTAATCCTACTAACTATATTACATTAAACCATAACAAAGACTGGGATACTAATCATACCTAAATGTCCAACAAATGCAGTATCAACAAGTGAAGTAATAGGATCAGAAGCAAGAGCTAACGCCGCGGGCAACGCAATCGACACAATATCCCATCCAATTCCATCAAATTTCAGCACTTCTCTGCAAATAACCCAACACACAGATCAGGAGAAAACACACAAAAAAAAATTAAAAATAACAAAAGCAAGTGTGTTGAAGATAATACAGCAGGGAAGTGACTGAATCCCACAGTGATGAAGAAGATGAGGATGGAATATCCGGGTCAGGGTCCGGACTCTTGACCCGACTTTCTCCTGAATCAGAATTTGAGTTAGATATCGAATTTTGGGATAAGGTTTTACGATTTTTCTCATTAATTGATTTGAGTAGTGTAGTTCGGAGTCGAGCTGAGCAATTAGTGTTGTTATTTCGTAGTTGATTAGTACAGTTGCAGAAATAACTGTAATTCTGATTCTTCCGGTGAAGAGATTGTGTAAATAATGGATTTATACATTGCTGGTGAAGGCCAGTAGCCATAGTTGCTCAACTGGAGGTGAATAGAATCTCTAGATTTCTGGGGAAGAAAGGTGAATTATCAGTTTTTAATTTTTCTATTTTTTTTTGTTATCAACGAAATTAACGGCTGAAATACAATTTCATTGATATTACTTTGTTTCGCGTAAAATTTAAAGTGGACAAGTAAAATTCGGGAAAATATCTTATGGAGAATAGTATTTTCAATATGGTTAGTAGTAAGGGGGGCGCCAAATTTTGTGGTTCACACAAAGCCCATATACCAATTTTTTAGTTTTTTTGAAGTGCTTTATAACAACTGTTATTTTAAAAATAATAAAATATTATCTTGTGATATTTAGAAATTTAAGAAAAAACTTATATTTGTTTCATAATGGAAAGAGTATAATATTATAATTTGTTTCGACCTTATTTGATTTGTTATAGTATGTTTCGTTACTTCATAGAATAGAATAAAATCGATCTATTTCTTATCCTTCTCATATTATATTTGTGAAATCATTTGGTATTACATATTTCTATTTGGGGGCGGACTCACGTTGGATCTATGGAGTTCACCCGGATGTCCTCAGTAAAAAAATATATGATATATAAGGTAAATTTTTTATATTTTTGTATACATACATATATATATATATATATATTGAACCCCCACAATAACAAATAAAAATAGATAGCTTAGTGACAAGTTCCATGAATATTAAGATGCACGGCCCCAATTTGAATCCCTACGATAATATTTATTTATTTTCCTTTTTAATTAATTCTGTTTTTCAAACTTTTTTTGGCCTTATTTTTCATTTTAAAATGTGCCAAACACATTTATATTTTTATTTTTCAAACCCCTAAATGAAAATCATGAATCTACCACTGTTTCCTGGGCTAAAAAGGAGTTTGATTTGGAAGACCATACCCACATCATTTTTTTGGGAGCAATTTTTCTAGTAAAGATGTTAATTAATTGCACCAAACTTGGCAAATAAAAACTAATACAAATAGTTGGATGATATGAAAATTACATAACTTTGTAAATTTGTTTTATCATTTCAAATAAAAGGTGTTCGATTTTCCATTTGTTCCATAATCACCAAATTTAAACTTGCATAGAATTACAGGAATCTTAGTCCCTCTATAATATTTCCAAAACTCACAACATATATGAATGAATGTATGTACACGGTTCGTGGTATACCAGCTAGTTCAGCGAGTACATATACTACCTCCCACCAACACTTGTATCGAGAATCACCAAACTATCAAAGCAAACTCAAACGGAAGAAGCATTTCGTAATAAACCTTGAGGTTCAAGATTTTGCTTCAACACCTAACAGACGAAACATGCTATGCTCATTTGAGATGTACATTATACGTTCAAGGGGGTAAAATTTCCTTTTGCTTTTCTCCAGGATAGTGGGAAAGAACTTACAAAGTGTGCCTGTTTTTCACAAAAACTGAAAAAGCAGTTCATTCCATACATCAGGCACACCAGGCAAGCACCAATGGATGCAATCCGAGTAACTTGCAGGGTCTGCTAATCTCTCAGGAGTCAGCGCCTCCCAAAACTTACGGTAGATTGAAGGGTGGCCGTCTTTCCTGTAATCTGAGAGCTGAGTAATGTTGAGAACGTTAACCTTTGAGCCCAACCTAGCAAGTGTTCTCTCCACCATCTGCATTGTGGGCAAGTCGGAATCTATGCCCCAGTATGTTCCATTCAAGGGAAGCTTCTCGTTGTAGCAGTTTCCTTCACTTCCTGGTTCCCATTCTCCTTTCCTGAAGGTTGAAAGAAGCAAATAGGGAAAGATATGATTTCTTACGGTAGGAAACACACCAAGAAGAATCTTTCGTGTTGGATTTCAGCAACTGGTTGTATTAAAACATAAAATCAAATACTATGGCCTTTTGACCCCAACAACAGACCCACTGAAATCCCCACAGGAGGGGTCGTGGGAGGGTAGAGTGTACACAGATCTAGCCACACCTCAAGGAGGTAGAGAGGTTGTTTCCAAAAGACCCTCCGCTCAAGTAACACATATCGAAGCAGATTTAAGAGGAGGAAACAAAAGTAATAAAGATATAGCAAATAATAGGGAAAATATTTTTAAAAAGCATAGTAACCACAACAAGATAAAATGATAGCCAACAACATGTAGTAGCAGAAATCGAGGGACTTAAAAGTACGAGGATGGTGCTAATACTACTAGTACGCAAGGAGTCACACTGGACAATGAGACGACGCTCAACTACTAACTTAACACCCTAACCGGCGAACTTTATTACTTTCTATCTAATGACATGTCCTCAATAGGCTGGAGATGCACCATGTCCAGACAAATCATCTCTCCCCAATGTTTTTCGGTCTGCCTCTCCCTCTCCTGAAGCTCACCTCAGCCAACCTCTCAACCTCCTCACTAGGGCATCTGCATCTCTCTTCTTCACATGTATGAACCATTTCAATTCACTTCCCTCCTCTTGTCTCCACAAAAAGACACCCACACCTAGTCCCGAAGATTTTCATTCCTAATTTTGTCTCTTCTAGTAGCCCACACATCCACCTCAGCATCCTCATTTCTGTTAGTCCCATTTGCAGAACATGGAAGTTCTTAACTGCCCTTTTGACCCCACCTTGTATTAGAAATGGATAATTAGTCCAAATATCTTGTGCTATGACTATTGAGTCCTACAAAATGGACTCAATAGTTATAGCACAAGATATTTGGGAATTCTGTAAACAATGCACATAGGCAAATGAATTTGAGAGCTTTACACTCTGTGCAAACTTCTGATCTGTTCAGTTCACCAATTTGTTCTAAATTGACAAACTAAGTAAAACTTATACATCAACTACTTAACATTAGATTAAAACATCAACATACACAAAAGATGCTGCTTTCATTCTCCTAATTGTTCATATAAAGTAATCAACAAATAATTTTGAAATTTAGAGTCAAGTCAAGCTTATGCACTATGCCTCAGAATTTTTACAGCCGAGTCACCTAGCACACTGGTAACAAACAATAACTCATGTCACGTTTGACAAATAATTAACAACTTTGTAGTTAAGTACTCAAAGTAAGCTTTAGCAGTGAAAGAAGAGCTCCTCACTTACGTGAAATGTGTAGGGGACATTGTGACAAAAAAGACCTTCTTCGCAGGATCAACATTGGAATCCACCCAATTTGCCCAGGCGTCCATAGCTAACTCCATGCCTCCCAAACCATTTATTTCCTCGCAAACTCCATTTTCTTCAGAACTCCATCTAAAAAGGTAACAGAACTGATAAGAATGCAATCTTCTTTTCTTTGTGAAATTTCGATTAATTCTAAGATAAGAAATATAAATAGTTTAAAAGTTCCTGGTGAACTGAAAGTTTGCAATTTGAAGAAATATGAAATCGGGAAATCCAGCCGAGATAAAATAGCAAAAGAGAAATCAGGCAGCACTCCTTTTCCACCGTTATATATTTTAAATTTTCATTTATCAGCTTGCTGAGAAGTCAAATATTAGTTCTTGGCATTTCTGCTTTAAGTCAAGATCTAATTACTTAATTAGAGTTCATACTTACAATAACTTAACAGGGCCCTGTCTCCACCAAAGATATGAATTGAAGACCAATATATCGGCATGCATCCATTCTGATGAATGCCTAAGAAGTGAATCTGGACGTAGTATTCGTTCAGAGAGTCTGTGATCAACTGGATCATCAGAATTTGATTCGACAAGAAGTGGAGCCCAAAGAAACTCTATGCTGGCATTGTATTCCTGTCATCAACACATAAACACTTGAATTTAGTAACGGACGTTAACTTATCTTGACGTAATCATCACCATCAACAGATATGAAGTACATTTAAACTTGACATCACATAAAGTTAGAGATCACTTAGTCGAATGATACATTTCATATACTGAATATAAGTTCACTTCACCTCTGCTCTAAATATTGAAAGGTGGGCCTGTGGTGTCATGAACTTCTTATCAGCTGGAATAACAGATTGCATTAGACACACCATCGATATCCACTGTCCTCTATTCAGTGAGTCTCCCACAAACATTAGTCTCTTCCCTCTTAATTTCTCCCACATTTCAGTCACATTCCACCTGCATATCAACATTAACACATAACACTTTCTACAACATAATACAAGAAATCAAACATCATAGGGCGAGATTAACTAATCTGAGATTTTATCAGTTGGTTACTACTATGAAGTTACTCACATATTCTTTCATCTAACATTACAATTGGTTTGTGAATGTTATTACCCTATATACCTTAGAAGGGAAAAGGTGCGTATATATTTGCCGTCTAATAAATGGTGCATATTTACCCGTTTTGTTAAAATACCTATATTTTACCAAAACAATACGACGATATGCCAATGAACCACATTAATGATCTTTCATCTAAATGCTAATATTAGATACATACTAAACATGGCCCGGCATAAATAGGTACAATAACAAATGAGCTAGAATAATACACAAAAAGCAGAAAGAATCAAAACTTACCTCTTCAAATTGCAGTTATGAGGTTGCCATCTCCAGTACTGATACTCCAGATCTTGCCTACCATGCTTGTGGCACGCCAATTGATCGGACATATAAGGACAATCAGACTCTTTATACAGTGGATGTGAACTATTATCAAACACCCATTCACCAGAAAAATAATCACATGTTTCAGGCATTTCTCTCCGGCCACCGGACTCCGGTTTAAAGCTATCCCATTCAGCTCTCTTTCCACTATACTTCACAGTAGAGTGACAAGCACTAGATTTATCCAACGGCACTAACAACACCAGAAAACACAAATCCCTTCAGTTGAGCTCAAAAATACACAAACATCAAACCATTATTTCGCAGAAAAACTGAAATTAATTAAAAGGGTCCTTATTACTGAACTCCAACTTCATGAAAATGCAGGGGGGAAAAACACCATATTCAAATCGCCAAAAAAATTGAAATTGATCAAAAGGGTCCTTGTTTCTGAACTTAGATTTCAAGAAAATGCAGAAAAAAACACCATACCCAAAAATTGAAAAAAAAAAACCCCCACAAACCATCCCTTTAAAAACTTGCTCATAAAACGAAGAAAAATGTCGAATCAAGAAAACTAACCAGGAGGAATTTTTGTTACGGTGAGGTTTTTCACTGATTGGAACAAAGGGTCTTCCTCTTCCTTGGCTAAAGTAGATGAATCATCATCATCATCAGTATGGTGAGTGGAGTTTTTTGACTGAATCTCATGAATGTAAATTTCATTATAGAGGATAGAGAAAACAATGAAGATGAAGAAAACGAGTGCTATAAGAGGATACTGAGTTTTCTTCTTCGGCCATTTCTGCATTTTTTGAGAGAGAAATGAAGAAGACCGAAAGAATGTTGATTGACTAATCTAATTTCTACAACCGACAATGACAATCCTTTTAAATCTGAACAAATTCAATGAAAATAATAAATATTGATGATTTTGTTTGCTTATTTGGCAAAAACTACTAAAATTATTTCGTATACACGATCTGATTTGATGTATTAAAAATATCTTAATTATCTAAGTACACAATTTATGCTATTATATTCTCTACAATTTTCTTATCATTTAAAAAAACTATAAAAATTCATTCTTTACACGATGCATTAGTCGAATACATCAGTTTATTTTATGTATCAATCGAATACATCACTTTTATGCGATGTATCAGTTGGATATATCACTTTACTATGTATCGAGACGTATGAAAGGTTACTTCTTAAATTGTATCAGTCGGATACATCTTACATCACTTTATGTGATGTATATGGACATTCATGATGTATCACGACGTCGAGTTATATATTCGAAACCGAAAATAATGTATCAGGACGTTGAAGAATGTATTCAAAATTGAGACGTGACGTACACTGATGTTTTAAGATGTATCCAGATTTCACCTAATTTAAGAAATTTTGTAATTGAAAAATACTAGAGATAGAATGTAATTAACTCTTAAAAACTGTGAAATTTGTGTAGAGCTATTACACGTAACGGAAAGGATGTAAACAAAAAGGTTTTGAAGAAAAACTATGTCTTTAAACTATTTACATTGTTAATATTGTCATTGCAATTAGTTACATGGGTTGAAAATATATACCAAACAAAGTATTAATACTACATGCAATAAAGTTAATACATATATTAATTTAACGTGATCTTGTAGATAAATTATGTTACTTAAGTCAGAATCTTTTAAAAATAATTTCTCTCTAGATAAAAATAAAATTTACATATATTTTAACCTATTCACATCTCATTTATAAAATTTGTTATTATTGTTTTTTTGTTGAAGTTACAAACAAACCCTATTTTAATCTTAGTATGGGGTGGTTAAGCGTGTGTATATATATTATAATCTTTAATCAATTGTAATATTCACTTTTGATTCTTATATACGATAAAATATTATTTTTGTATGCATGAGAATATATATAAATTTAAACAACATTACCTAACATTTATTATGATTAACTAAAAAACCATAATTCTTCTCATTAATATGATTGGAGGAACAAAAGTGCTATTATTCCTAAATTAAAACACCATTAAATTGTAGTGTTTATTATTAATGGGAAGGGTGGACCTTAATGATTCCTTGTTAACGTGCATCTAACTAAGAAAGTTTGTATTTTACATATTTTAACGTGGTTCCCATTACAATTAATAATTAATTTTTTTTACATTTTGTGCTTCATGCATAATTATTTAATGCAAAAAGAAAAAGAGAGTATAAACGTAAATTGTTTTTTAAAGGAACGAGGGAAAAAATAGCAATGGGTGGAATTAGCATAAATATATGGACAACTTTCATATATAACAAA